TTCTTGTTCGATGGAGGTTTAGTCTCCATGATAGCTTTCGTCTTATTTCGATTAACTTCAATTCCTTTCTGGTGTATGACAAACCCCAGAAATTCTCCTGCTGTAACACCAAAAGCACATTTTAGAGGATTCATTTTCAAACCATGTTTTCTCATTCTCTCAAAAGATAATTTTAAATGGCTTAGGTGATCCTCTTTTTGCTTCGACCCAACAATTATATCATCAATATATACTTGTACAAACTTACCAATTAAATCATGGAATATTAAATTCATTGCCCTCTGATAAGTAGCACCTGCGTTTTTTAATCCAAATGGCATCATCACCCATTCATAAACACCAAGAGCACCTGGACATCGAAAATCAGTTTTCGATACATCATTAGCTGCAATATAAATTTGGTTATATCCAGAATAACCATCAAGTAAACTCATAATTTCATTACATGCAGCAACGTCTATCATAGTTTCAGCAATGGGCATGGATACTCATCCTTTGGGGTTGCTGTGTTGAGGTCTCGAAAATCAATGCATACTCTGAGTTTCCCATTCTTTTTTATAACAGACACAATATTCGAGATCCACTCAGCATACCTCGAAGTTCTAATGAACTTTGCTTTCAATAATCTTTCAATTTCTTCTTTGATTTTCTCGATTACTTTAGGAGCGAACCTTCGATGGTTTTGCTTAACAGATTTCTTTCCTGGAATCATGGGTAACCTATGCTCCACCAATTCTCGATCTAATCCTGGCATTTCATCATAGTCCCATGCAAAGCAATCCTTATAATTATGCAATACTCGAATTAATTCCTCCTTAAAGTCCTTTTGCAAGAGCTTGCTAACATAAGTCACTCTTTTGTTCTCAACAGTTCCCAAGTTGATTTCTTCGAGGGGATCATGAGATTCTAATTTATGCTCTTCTTTGGTTGCTCTTTCAAATCCTAGTGGTGAATCATCGAAGATACAATCCAACTTGAGTTCTAACTCTTGTTCTTTGCATTCTTTTGTTTTTTCGACCTCTTGGTCTCTTTCTATTTTTTCTTTTTCTGTTTGTCTCGAGGCAACTTGGTCCTCTCGGTTTTTCTCTATTTTTTCTTTTCCTTCATTCTTTTCGATTCCGAAGTCTATCTCTTTTTCTTCTTTTCTTTGTTTTTTATCCTTTTCGACCTCGAAATCTATTTTCCCTTTCTTTTTTTGTTTTTCTTCGGCCAAAGTGACCGTGCTATTTTTTTCAATTTCCTTTAAACATGCCTTCTCACCTTCATTTCCCTCGGCCATGTTGGCCGTTTGATCGGCCACATAGGCCGATATTCAAGTTAAAAAGCTCGAGTAAGGATCTTCACTCTTCATTCATCAAGTGGAGCCGAATCTTTTTCGGCTCGAATCACAAACCCTTTTTTCACGTCCCAGCAGAAAGTTTTCTTAATCCCTTCTTCTTCATCCATCACTCCAGAATTGTAAGCATCGAAAGGTTTGGTCTTTGCAAATGCTATCAATTATTGATCAGCAAAATACATACCAACTTCATATGTTCTCTGGTCAGCCTCGAGAACCTCCAACCCTTCGTCATCGTTCCAGAAGAAGATCTCTTGATGCACCGTGGAAGGGACGACTCCTACCCCATGGATCCACTCTCGACCTAGCAAGACATTAAAATTCGCCTTAGATGGCGTCACTATAAACATGGTGGTCATCTTTACACTCCCAATCTGCACATCAAGCAGAATCATGCCTTCAGGGTGCGAAGATTTTCCTGCGTAGTCCGAGATCATTATATTGTGAGGTTTCAAATAAGCCAAGGATTTCCCAAACCTCTTCAGCATTGTCTTGGGTAAGATGATCACAGTTGCGCCTCCATCGACCAAGACCTTATTCACCTCTTGCCCCTCGATCATCAATGTCAACAATAGAGGCTTAAGGTGTCCTTTCATTTTCTCCGTGGGAGAGTCGAACACAGCAGAATTGAATTTGGGGATAACCCTCGATTTGATTGACCCATATGATTTTGGATTCATAGTTGGGGTCATCGAAGAAGTCTTCTCGATGAATATCCTCTTGTTCATTCACGGCCTCCATGGCCCCAACATATTCTGAAGGCATAATGGAGACTATCCCACAAATGTCTTCTAGGGAGTCCTCAAAACCACTCTCGAAACAATCGGTTATCATGTCTTCATCATCTTCAAGGAACTTTCGAGATGATTCCCCTTTCTGAGGTACAGGAATCGAGAAACGGTTTCCCCTAACACCTTCAAAGGTAGCCTTACGCATCCTTTGTTGTCTCCTCCACTGAGTTTTGGTTAGATTGTTGAAAGGCTGTCGAAAGCCACGCCCATACCCTCCATTCGAGACTCTACCGGGCCTTGTAGTCAAACTTGGAGCTTTCCCAGGAACTCCTTGCATTGGATGTGCAGCATAACTCATTACCTGTTTTCCTCGACCCATGCTTCCCATCATTGGCCTTGGTGGAGCAGTCCATTTTCCCACAGGCACATTCGCATTTGGCACAAAAGTATTGTCGAATCTCGATGAATTATACATCTCCATTTTTCCTACTGGAGCATTATATTGAGGCATATGAACCTGCCTCATAGTTAACCCAGCATTTGGTCCAGCATTGGGCTTGAGTTTTTGTCGAATATTTTCAGCTTTATAGTTCCGCATCATATCTGATTCTTCAAAGGCTTTAGCAGCAGATCTATCGAAAACAGCGCTGCATCGAGGACATAACATTACTTCTCTATCAACCTCTTTCTTTTTAGACAAGAATTCGACTAAGCTATCTCCCTCTTTAGGGTAGATGGGCTCCTGTTCCTTAGCGAAATCTTCCATTAATTCCTCGAGCTTTTCATCAGAAATGGGTTCGATGTTCTCATCATCCTCGACAGCAACATCTGATATATTATTTTATTTTGGTTGGTTCTGGATGTGACGGCCTAGGGTGGGTCGTTACAAGACATCCATCATGTGCATGAAATATTTTACAACCGTACATGAGATTTTGCCTTCAAGCCATGAGTAATTTTCCTTTAGCCATGACATTTTGCCTTTGAACTATGAATATTCAATTTCGACTCATGAGAATTCTCCTTTAGGCCATGAGTAATTGCCTTCGAGCCATGAGAATTCGCCTTCGGATCACATGTTATGAGATCCTTTGGCACCACATGCATATAAAGTGAAATTTGTGTCCATTGCTTTTGTGTGATCATGAGTATTGTAGATATTTTGATGTTTATTATATTACTTCTTTAAGTTATAATTGTGATGAATATTGTATTGAACTATTTATATGTATATTAATACTATGTTGTTGCTTGTGTGTTGTTATCTAGCTCTTTCCCACATTGGTAACCAAAGTGAGACGTTTCTCACTTCCTTATTTGTTGTGTTCTATATGTGTTTTACAAGTGTGGATCATTTTGATGACGATGTCGATGATAAGGCTTAAGCCTTGTGATATGCTTGTGATTCGAACTCTGATAGGATGTGACATGGAGATTTAAAGTTATGTTTTGTAATTTTTTTAATGTATTGCCTATTTATTTTTTATAAAAAAAACTTGTTAATCTATTGGAGCTTTGGTATGGCCTTTGGTTAGCCATTTGATTTTATTTTGTTTTGGTTTTCGTGTTAGTTAACTCTTCTAGAACTTGTTTAAGTTTATGAAACAAATGTGATTTCTCTACCATTGGAGGTGCTTTTGAAAACCTTTTATAATTCTTAGAACAAAGTTTTATTCAAAAAGTTTACTATTTTACAATTAATTATGTGTTGATTAGCAGGGTAGAGGGTGTCATAGCAAAAACCTTAATAATAAAAAATTATGGTCCGAATGAAGAATTAATATACAGATGTATATAACATAACTCAATTTATGGTTATTGCATGTAGAAATTTGACAACATAACTCATTTTATGGTTATTTTAGATAAGAGAAAGAAATTAAGTTGTTATGCTTACACCAACAACTATTTATTTCCTCATAAATAGGGATGGAAATAGACTTAACCATTTAGTCTATGAAAATTAGGTTAGACCTTAAGAAAATAGGTCATGCTTTCATTTAAAGTTATTTAATTAAACAAAGGTTAGATCTTAGGCCATTTAAAAAAATATTTTAGGTCTAATAGGTCAATCTATTTAAATAAAATAAATAAATATGTATTATTATTATTATTATTATTATTATTATGTTATCATCATAAATGGCCTATTAAACCTTAAAATTTGCTTATATTATGAAAAAATATTAGACTTAACCAAAGTCATTAATACAATCTTAATCAAGGATTAAGGTTCAATTCCTAACTTGAGAATGAAATTACAACTATAAGTAATACTTTATCTTTATAGAGTTGTGTTTATCTTAAGTAATTGATAAATAAGAAAATTGATACTTAGATGTTTTAGTTTTTTAGGATTTTTTTTAATGTTTTTCTTGTAAAGTTACAATAATTGACATAGTAAGAAAAGTGTTGGTAAAAAGTTGGAGTAGTTGAGTCCAAAAAGTTGAAGTTCTCACTTCTCAAAGGAGAAAGACTCGCTAAAACGAATCACTTTACTTGCTTAAACAATGATATATAGAAAGAACATACTTTTAGGAGTTGAAGGTTCGCTTAAGTGCAAATCATATTAGTGATTAATTATAATATTAGTTTAATCAACAACTAAGGTCTTAAAATTTTCTTATATTAAGAAAAAAATATTAGACTTAACCAAAGTCATTAACATAATCTTAATCAAGGATTAAGGTTCAATTCCTAACTTGAGAATGAAGTTACAACTATAAGTAATACTTTATCTTTATAGAGTTGTGTTTATCTTAAGTAATTGATAAATAAGAAAATTGATACTTAGATGTTTTAGTTTTTTAGGATTTTTTTTAATGTTTTTCTTGTAAAGTTACAATAATTGACATAGTAAGAAAAGTGTTGGTAAAAAGTTGGAGTAGTTGAGTCCAAAAAGTTGAAGTTCTCACTTCTCAAAGGAGAAAGACTCGCTAAAACGAATCACTTTACTTGCTTAAACAATGATATATAGAAAGAACATACTTTTAGGAGTTGAAGGTTCGCTTAAGTGCAAATCATATTAGTGACTTAAGAAAGAGATGTCATAGGACACGCTTATTTTAAATTTGAAGACTCGTTTAAGTGAACCAAGACATGATAGAGAGAATTTTCACTATTATTCAAAGGCTCACTTAAGCAAACTATCTTAATTGCTTAAGCGAGTAAACTATTCAAACTCAAAATTAGAGACATATAAAAGGTCTAAAAACATTAAAAAAAA